AGCTTTTGTTCATGTGCCTATTAGCCATCCATATATGTCCTTTGGGGAAATGTGTATTTAGTTCTTCTGCCCATTTTTTTTAAATTGGATTTTGTTGTTGTTGTTGAGTTGTATGAGCTGTTTGTATATTTTGGAAATTAAGCCCTTGTTGGTCACATCATTTGCAAATATTTTTTCCCATTCTGTAGGTTGTCTCTTCATTGTGTTTATGGTCTCCTTTGCTGTGCAAAATCTTGTAAGTTTGATTCGTTTCCATTTTTTAAATTAAAAGTTATTATTTATTCATGGCTGTGTTGGGTTTTCATTGCTGTGAGGGTTTTTCTCTAGTTGCAGCGAGCAGGGGCTGCTCTCTATTGTGGTGTGTGGACTTCTCAGTGCAGTGGCTTCTCTTGCTGCAGAGCATGGGCTCTGGGATATGTGGGCTTAGTAGTTGCAGCTCCTGGATTCCAGGGCACAGGTTCATTATTTGTGGCACATGGGTTTAATTGCTTTGTGTGTGGGAATCTTGCTGGACCAGGGAGGGATTCTGTGTCTCCTGCACTGGCAGGTGAATTCTACTGAGACACCAGGGAAACCTCCATTTGTATATTTTTGCTTAGATGTCTGTTGCCTTAGGAGACTGACCTAAGAAAACATTGGTATAATTTATGTCAGAAAATATTTTGCCTATGATCTCTGCTAGGAGTTTTATGGTGTCACGTCTTATGATTAAGTGTTTAAACCATTTTGAGTTTATTTTTGTGCATGGTGAGGGGGGTGTGTTCTAACTTCATTGGTTTACATGCCTGTGTCTCTGTCATTATGTCTTAATCTCCTCTTCATCTAAGTGCACCAGTCAGATTAGATTAGGTCCAGTATAACTAAGGGAAATCATTACTTCTTTAAAGTCAATGACACCAAATTCTAAGGTACTGATGACCTAGGTGACAACATGTGACTTTGAGGGGACATGATTAATTTACAGCAGGCCCAGAAAAGCAAAGTAAAGAGGTTTCATAGGGTCAACAGACATGTGAGGGGCTCTGAGCCCTGGACACAAGGAGCAGGAGTTCCATGTCCACTAAGTGGGGGTTGTTTGACTTTGGTGGAACCTGCCTGTGTATAAAATGTGCTCAGTGTTGGGGTGATGAGTTGTGGAGATGGATGGTGGTGATGGCTGCACAACAATGTGAATGTACTTAATGCCACTATATGGCTAAAGTGGTGAAGTTCATGTTAGGTATATTGTAACACACATACACACAAACCTGCATAGTAGCACTGAATCTGTGAGAACATAAGAGAACAGGGCAGATGACACATGGCATGGTCTCCAGTGCACTGATCTGACCCTCCTTTCCCAGCCTCCCCTGTTCACAGCTTGATGAATTTGCCCTTAGAGAAGTGCCTTGTGTCTTATCATCAGTGACAGGGACTCCCCACCCCCACCCTCTGGCATCCTGAGGTAGCTCAGCCTCCTTGTTCCCAGCACCCTGCCCTGATATGTGCCACCCATCTTGTGTGCATCTGCACAAGTTCTCCATCAGGGCAGGAGCAGTTTCTACTGGCCGTTGCATCCATGTCACAGGGAGGGGAGAGCAAGGCATTTTGGTGCCAAGTACAGTATGCTGATCCCAGACGTTTTCCTGAGTTCTTTTTGAAAACAGAAGATATTTATAAAATCTTCTCAAATATTTTGAGTGTTCCCCTTTGGATATATACTTGATAGAAGCAAGCTTAAGACCGTTGTTTGTAATCGGAACCACATTCTCTAGGGAAACTTAAAGCAGAGAGCGTGAAAGCAGTTTAGGAAACCACTCAGCGGGAACTGGAGAGTGTTCTCAAGTCAGAGAATCGGATGGAACAATATGCTGTGAGAGATGGTGGTCGTGTGGAAGCTTAGTCATGGGGAGGCTTTTGTATTTAAAGTGAATGAATCACACTTCTACTTGCCATTAGCAGTTTCCTACAGTCATAAAGGAAGGTCATTAAGTTTTGTGAGTTTCACAACTTTATACTGTGAACACTAATTGGGTTCTGTCACCCACAGAAAGTGAGAGGCATATGTGAACTGACGCAGTCACATCATGCCATGAGATCATGCTGTGGATCCCGTCCTGGTTCAGCCCCACATCCCAGACCCCCACATCCTGCATCATCAGCTCTTCAGGTCTGTCCTGATCAGGCTCCCACGGTGCTGTCTACACAGCTCACCCTCCTGCTCCAGCCCTTCATGGACACCCCACCCCTCATGTTCAGGAAGCAGCTCCAGGTGCTCAGAGAACAGGCTTCTTTGCCGTCTGCCCCCATCGGCTTTTCCAGCTCATCCCCACACCCGCTCGGTGTCCAGTTGTGCTGGCTCTGTGGGGGTCCTTTCTCACCCCTGTCTGTCTCTTCATACTGGTCCCTCTGTCCCAGAGCCAGAGAGCAGTGTGCCAGGACACAGAAGGAAGATGGAAGATGGGCCCTGCCTTTCTGTCCTGCTTCTCCAGGGGGCACCCATGCCTCTCTGCTTTCCCACAGCCCTCAGTGGGTGCACTTGACCATTTTTGAGTCCCTCCACCAGTGCCCAAGCTGTGAATGCAGGGAGGCACCTCAGCCCAGCATATTCTGTCCCAGGACCACTGCACCTGCTGTGTCTTCTTCAAGGATGCTTCCCCAGGTAGTCTCAGGGCTCTTGAGTCACCCCATCTAAATTAGCACTCCTCCTTTTACCCTCAGAGCACATGTCACAGCCTGATAGTACATTTTCTATACTTGTCCCCTATACACGGTGCAGAGTATTGTCTTCTGTTCTGACATGTGGGTGTATCCTCTGCATTTAGGACTGTGCTTGTCTCCTCAACAAACCTCTGCTGATTGAATGAATGAAGACTGTCTTCATTGAATGAAATGGGACTCTGTCTCATTTGTATCCCCTCCATCATGGGACTGTCTCATTTGTATCCCTTCCATCATGGGATGTGTTGCCTCTTAACACAGCCCTTGTATAGGATTATATGTGGGATTACAGGATTAACACAGCCTTTATATAGGAATAACAGTTAAACAGCTGGTTGCTGACTCAATAACTTCTATGGCATGACTTGGAGATCTTTAAAAGCTTGGAAAATAGTGTATTTTTCTAGTGATTTGGATAAAAGTATTATTTAGGAAAAATTCAAAGTCATCAACTAATCACTTCATTGTAATTATTTGTATTACCGAATCTGTGATGGGATGTTAGGAAGAAAACATTTTAAAACTTTTGTGTGGGTTCGTCTTGGATGTAACACCCCATCAGATTTTATAAACATCCATCTTTAGGGAATATTGGCAGGTAATTATGAATTAAGGAGAAAAAATCTATTTTGAACCTTTAGTACTAAGTTTGAAAAGGTGTTAGTCAAGAAACTTAGGTATGAACACTGAGCTAACACATGTCAAAAGGTAAAAATGAATCCTTTTGGACTTAACAAAGCGATGATGTATGTGTTTACATCCCAGGGACGTGTTTCTGATCACAGACCCAGTAGCCAGAATGTCCCCTTAGGACTTTTCTGTCCTGAGTCCAAAGCACATGACCACTCATGGTTAGGGAGGAGTGGAAAAGGGGGCTGACATTTACCGAGCATTATTAGTGGCTTCTTTTCTTAGAACATATGGTTGAGTTGTCACTGACCTTGACTTGAAATGGAGAAACTAAGATTGAGTCGCTCATCCGACATTGTCAGGCTCATGAGAGGGACTGAGTTGCAGTCTACTGCCTCCAGACTCTCCATCTGACTCACTCACAGACTGAGCTCTGGCCCAGGTTCCTGAGATTTGCTCTGTGAGGGGCTAGGGCACTCAGAGTACTTGCCTGGTGCCCTGCCTGCGGTCACTGGGGCCCCAGATCCGGCCACTAACTTCCCTGTAGGGTTGTGGACCCTGTGGGATGAGACTGGGGCTGAGTCTCTAGGGGTCTGGATTTAAAATGTATGATCAGTTTTGTTTTTTTTTTACTGTGAAAAAAATTTAAGGTTGAATAGTGAGGGGTGTCTTGGCTATAAAGAATTGGTGTGTCCTTTGAGCCATTGGGTGATTTCCACTGTGATTAGGGCCATTTGGATTCCATTCTTTTATTTTCATGTTTGGAAGACATTCAGTCCTAATGATGGAGAAGGCAATGGCACCCCACTCCAGTACTCTTGCCTGGCAAATCCCATGGACAGAGGAGTCTGATAGGCTGCAGTCCATGGGGTTGCTAAGAGTCAGATGCGACTGAGGGACTTCACCTTTCACTTTCATGCATTGGAGAAGGAAATGGCAACCCACTCCAGGGTTCTTGCTGGGAGAATCCCAGGGACTGGGGAGCCTGGTGGGCTGCTGTCTGTGGGGTCTCACAGAGTCGGACATGACTGAAGTGACTTAGCAGCAGCAGCAGTCCTAATGAAAGAAGACTTGCTTCCTGGTTGGAACTGGGAATATTGGAGATCATGCCAGCATTCATTATCTATCTGACATTCTTTGGGAACAAGTATCTGGCAAATGCACTGTGGGAAAGATTACCAAGGATCTATTAATTTTTTGTTGTGAATATTTACATCATTAATTATAAATAATCACTAGAAAACTAAGAATGTGCACATTTTTAAATGACATGGATCGCTCCTCACCCATTCCCAAATAGCGATAAAATAGTATTTTAGTTTAGTCAAGTTTTGGAATCTCAGTATTACTCAATTGTTTTCATTTATGAAACATGCAAATAATTGTAAAGCTGAGTTTTAAAGGAAAAGACTTAGCTGTTAGTGCCTCCTTCACTGGACTGGTTTTAAGAATTTTTTGTAGCACTAGATTCACATTTGCTGCCAATAAATTTAAGAAGCTAGTCAGATTAATTGATTTACATTTATTTAATTTTTATTATTTATTTGGTATTTAAACTGCAGATCTTTGACTGCTGTATGGTCTTTGTCTCGTTGTCTTCAAAATATAAGTTTTCCATTTGAAGCACCCCATTAATGTGCCTTTGCATTCTGTACCTTTTACATTTGTAGGTGTATTTGTCAGGCCTTGAAGGAGAAGATCACAGTCTTAGTCACTCATCAATTGCAGTACCTAAAAGATGCAAGTCTGATTCTGATGTTGAAAGATGTGAGTAATTTCTAGAAGACTGTGGAATTGCTAGCACCCAGGTGTGTTGAAGGACAGACCTCCCTGCAGGTCGCTCTTCTTGGGTTCGTGGTAAACACCCTTTTCTCCGTCAGTTTTTCACCCCCTTCTTCTCAGAGCTGGTGTTCATGCCTTGGAGGATGAATCCAAAGCCCTGTAGAAATGTCACTATTACATTCTAAGCCATGTGAACCCTAAAGTGTATAAAAGTGCAATCACAAGATTGAATCATCACTGTTCTAATGAAATCTGTTAAGGATAATGATGCAATTTTATTTAGAACTTTTTATTTTCCTCTTCCATGACTTAAGTCAAAGTGTACTACTTAGAAATTAGAGATTCTAAGATCTGTTAGTATCTAGGTGATTGTCATACATAGTTTGTCTAAAGAGCATCTTCCATTAACATCAGAAGTGAGGTTGGGTAGCTGAGCACTGGGTCAGAGACGCCCACTCTGCTGGTGTCTCCAGTTGCTGGTTTCCCTGCCCATGTCTCTATGTGCCCAATACGTGTGGGAGCCTGTGTGGCAGGAGGATAAGGCCCTGCCCTCATGGGGCTCCTATTCTTATGGGAACAAATATGACAGAGGGGGTGACATCCTGGCTGCCTCCTTGAGAAGCTGGTGCCTTATGGGGCCAGAGTGACAGGAAGGTGGGGGCCACACTGTCACCTGGGGGAGGGGGTCTGAGGCAGGGGCTTCTAAGGAAGGAGCTGAACTGGCAGGTTGGAGGAATGGCAGGAAGACCAGCCTGTCTGAGGAGAGTGAGCAGGGGGACAGGAGGGAGCTGGTCTCCAAGCAGTGGGCAGTGGACCCAGAAGTGGGATGGAAGTCTTGGATGGTCCAAAGCAAAGGAGGGATGTGGTCTGATGTGTGAGTTAAGAGACTCCTCTGATGGTCACTAGAGGTCACAAGAAGCAATTCCAAGTCAGTAAACTGAGAAGACAGAAGTATGAGCTCAGGCTAGATTATCAGTTTCTAGAGCTGCCATGATGAAGTATGGTAAACTGGGTGACTTCAACAGAAGTTTATCATCTCCCTGTTCTAGAGGCTGTGGGTCCCAAATCTAGGTGCTAGTAGGGTTGTGCTCTCCCTGAAGGCTCCAGGGGACATTCCTTCCTTCCAGCCTCTGGTGTTCGCAGGCCTTCCTTGGTTTTCCTTGGCTTCCAGCTGCAGTACTGTGGTCTCTGCCTCTGATGCCACTTGGCCATTGTTCCCATGTCTGTCTGAGTCTCTTCTCATAAGGACATCAGTCGTATTGGATGTAGGGTCACCCTGCTCCAGTATGACCTCATCTTAACTTGATTACATCTGCAAATACCCAGTTTCCAAATAAGGTCATGTTCCCAGGTGTCATGTTTGAGCTTATCTTTTTGAGGAGGGGGCACCATCCAACCCACAGCTCCTAGCATGGTTGGGGGTGGGGTGGAGATTAGTGAGAAGTTTTCAGACTTGGTGGTAGTTTAATGCTTCACTCCTTGGATTGTTTATCTCTGGGCCTCAATACCTTTGTTGTTAACCCCTGACTGTTCCACAGGCCCTTGGTCAGTTCCCTGACTTATAAAATGAAATTTTGCTCCAAGAAAGATTATTAAAATGCAGAACCTTTGTCTCTCTAGAAGCAGTTCCATGTGTCAACTCCTCTCCACTCTTGTAGGAATGGTGGCAGAGGCAGGGGTGGGGGGGCAGTGGTTTAGGTTCCTCAAGCTTGAGAGCAGTTGATTTCATGTGCAGAGGGGGCCATTCTAGTGTGTGAATCCCAGTGTTGACAGTTTTATGAGCACAGGATCAGTGGGCAGGAGAATAACCTATTTCACCCATCCCTTGATGTTTTAGGGTTCTCTTATTGCTTCCTTTGAGGACACTACCCCCAGTTTTAGTACTAACAAAACAACTATTTGTCCACTGGTGAGTACCCTTGGATGAGTTGGGGTCCATCCTCACTGTGTGGCCCCTTTCTCACAGCAGAGGAGGGATGGCTGCCCCCTTGTCCCTTTGGGATTGTCAGCACTTGGCTGCTGAGTGAAATTGCTGTCTTTGTACCACCAGTCATTTCATTGTGCATATTAAAGATATGAAGTTGTGAGTGGTGATTTCCTTAAAGAGTTGTGTGAATTTTGCCTCCCAAGTGGAATAAGACACAATACATCCTGCATAATTTTCTAGTTCTGCAGTATCATATGGTACCCAGATGCTTCACTGGGTTTCTCCAAGTGACTCACCTCAGGACATAGGATGAGAGGGGTCCCAGATAGGGTCTTGGGTCATCTTCTTCCACCTGAGCTGCTTTAATCAGAGCAGTTCTCATTTGATGAGTTTTGCATCCTGAGATTTTTTTTCTCTAATGTTTTGTTTACCACTGAGTGAATCAGCTGCATCTTGTTTCCTGGGGTAAGAAAATTGTGAAAACATCTGCACATTATTTTATATGACTTTGTAAGGGAGGGAAACTGTGCAGTGATGTGTCACACATGTTCAAAGAGCATGATTAGATTGGCTGTAGCTTAAGCACCTGCCTAATTGGGGAAGCCTGGTTGACTGCTTGTGGTTGGTTGGTCCTAAGTTTTTTCTCGATTCTGAGTGCAGTGATTGTGGCTTAGGTTTCGGTTTGCAGGCACAGACTGCCAAGACATCAGAGCCACCCCAGCCTCATGGTCCCCTTGTTTAATTACTTTAACAGGTGGAATATTGAATTTTCACTTGGGAAACTTCTTGGCCCATGTGACTCTCTAATGCACTCTAAGTCCTCCATACAGTTGACCATGAAGATGTGACTCATGGGTTCTCTGTCTAGGGCTGGTTCCTACGCATCTTGTCCCAGCCAGGGCACATGATACTGTGACAGTGACAGTGGTCAGTGAAATTTGATGAGCAACTCTTACCTTTTCAGGCATTTGTGTCCACCTCTATGTCAATAATTTTCTTTTCTGGGATAATCTCCCCAGCTGTTTTTTAAAATTCTGCTTGTCTCATGAGGTTTCTCTCCATTCTTGTTTTGTCTTTAGAGATTGTGCTGATCCTCTCAGGAACTTCTGTACTTCTTGCTTCCCTAAGTGCCCGTGGTACTTATGTCAATGGCTTCCATTTTTAACACATGAGCACATGTGTGTTAAATACCCCAGCACCTAACACAGGGTTTGAAGAGAACAGAATGCTTAGTTCAGTGTTGAGTTTACTAGATTTCTCAACAAGAATCCTAGACCAAGGGATCTTTTTTTTTTTAAATCATAATTTAAGACCAGATAACTTTTCTTGATTAGTATTTAGGTTGGTTTAATATTACTGAGGGCTTCCCTGGTGGCTCAGGTGTTAAAGAATTTGCCTGCAATGCTGGAGACCCGGGTTCAATTCCTGGGTCGGGAAGATCCCTGGAGAAGGGAATAGCAACCCACTCCAGTATTATTGCCTGGAGAATCCCATGGACAGAGGAGCCTGACAGGCAACAGTCCATGGGGTAGGAAAGAGTTGACTGAGCGACTAACACAATATTATCAAATGTAAATGAATTCCTCTCAATTTTTTAATTTTAGGGCAAAATGGTGGAGAGGAGGACTTGCTCTAATTTCCTGAAATCCAGGGTAGATACTTTTTCCCTTTCTGAGAAGGGGACTGAGCAGCCGGAACCATCTCCAGGTCCAGGAACTCCCACTCTGATCTCCGAGTCTTTGGATCCATCTCTACAGTCTCCCAGACCCTCATTGAAAGATGCGGCTCTAGAAGACCAACATGTAAGTTTTTCATCGTGTGACATGTCCTGGTCTGTCTGCTGTTTGTGGTATCATGGACCTTCAGTCTGCTCTGCTCATGGCATCTTCATTTGTCCCAAAGTAGCCCCTAAGGTTCCCAAAGGCGTTTCCCATGGACTTGATAGAAGAGCATGAAGGGAGCAAGCCTGTTTGGGGCTCCCCTTTGGGTGTAAGATGAAGAATCTTATGGAGACCAGGAGTGGTGCACTGCTGTGAATTTCTAGGTGCATGTGGCTCACACTGATATGAGAACTCTTCAATATGCCGCAGTTACATCCTACTTGCTCTGGTGGCTCTTGGCTTCCCTTAAACATGCAGAGGCCTAATGTGAACACCCCCTTAGACTGAGTCCTCCTGTGATCATGTTAAATCAGCATCTTTTCCTATATGTTGGAATGTTCTGGCACTGCCAGTGACTGATTGTAGTATTTTGTCTCGGTGTCAGAAGGTTTGTGATAGGCCAGAGGTAATGTGTGCAAAAGACCAGACACATGGTAGACACTTTCAAGTTAATTCCCATCTTCCTTTCTTACCAATCAAGACTGAGAACCACATCTTATCCACCTTGAATCCCAGTGGCCAGCATAGAAAGAAGGACATCTTAGGCTTCTGTGACTCTATAATGCATCCTAAGTCTTCCAGACAGAAATGCAGAAATGCACTAGATCTCCCTTAAAAACACACACAGATATTCCTCAGTATCCAAACCTAGGAGCCGGAATGATTCTGAGAAGCATTCAGATTAATCATTCAGTGTCTAAACTCAGGAATTGCTCTCTGAAATTTAAGAACCAAATATATTCAGATCAAAGGGCCCCCTGCTATCCAGACTCACATGACTGTACCTCACTCTGTGAATTCAGTTTACTGCATTTGGCTAGTATTTTGAGCCCCAACTACATTTTATGTCTCCATCACTGAGTGACAAAGTCATCTAGAGAGATAAATTCAGTTCAGTTCAGTCACTCAGTCGTGTCTGACTCTTTGCGACCCCATGAACTGCAGCACGCCAGGCCTCCCTGTCCATCACAAACTCCCGGAGTTTACTCAAACTCATGTCTATCAAGTCGGTGATGCCATCCAGCCATCTCATCCTCTTATCATCCCCTCCTCCTCCTTCCCCCAATCCCTCCCAGCATCAGGGTCTTTTCCAATGAGTCAATTCTTCTCATGAGGTGGCCAAAGTACTGGAGTTTCAGCTTCAACATCAGTCCTTCCAATGAGCACCCAGGACTGATCTCCTTTAGGATGGACTGGTTGGATCTCCTTGCAGTCCAAGGGACTCTCAAGAGTCTTCTCCAACACCACAGTTCAAAAGCATCAATTTTTCGGGGCTCAGCTTTCTTCACAGTCCAACTCTGACATCCATACATGACCACTGGGAAAACCATAGCCTTGACCAGATGGACCTTTGTTGGCAGAGTAATGTCTCTGCTTTTTAATATGCTATCTAGGTTGATCATAACTTTCCTTCCAGGGAGTAAGCATCTTTTAGTTTCATGGCTGCAATCACCATCTGCAGTGGTTTTGGAGCCCCCCAAAATAAAGTCTAACAGTGTTTCCACTGTCTCCCCATCTATTTCCCATGAGGTGATGGGACCAGATGCCATGATCTTAGTTTTCTGAATGTTAAGCTTTAAGCCAACTTTTTCACTCTCCTCTTCAAGAGGCTTTTTAGTTCCTCTTCACTCTCTGCCATAAGAGTGGTGTCATCTGCATATCTGAGGTTATCGATATTTCTCCCGGCAATCTTGATTCCAGCTTGTGCTTCTTCCAGCCCAGTGTTTCTAATGATGTACTCTGCATATAAGTTAAATAAGCAGGGTGACAATATACAGCATTGACATACTCCTTTTCCTATTTGGAACCAGTCTGTTGTTCCATGTCCAGTTCTAACTGTTGCTTCCTGACCTGCATACAGGTTTCTCAAAAGGCAGGTCAGGTGGTCTGGTATTCCAATCTCTTTCAGAATTTTCCACAGTTTATTGTGATCCACACAGTTGAAGGCTTTGGCATAGTCAATAAAGCAGAAATAGATGTTTTTCTGGAACTCTCTTGCTTTTTCAATGATCCAGCGGATGTTGGCAATTTGATGTCTGGTTCCTCTGCCTTTTCTAAATCCAGCTTGAACATCTGGAAGTTCTCAGTTCACATATTGCTGAAGCCTGGCCTGGAGAATTTTGAGCATTACTTTACTAGCATGTCAGATGAGTGTAATTGTGCAGTAGTTTGAGCATTCTTTGGGATTGCCTTTCTTAGGGATTGGAATGAAAACTGACCTTTTCCAGTCCTGTGGCCACTGCTGAGTTTTCCAAATTTGCTGGCATATGGAGTGCAGCACTTTCACAGCATCATCTTTCAGGATTTGAGATAGCTCAACTGGAATTCCATCACATCCACTAGCTTTGTTCCTAGTGATGCTCTCTAAGGCCCACTTGACTTCACATTCCAGGATATCTGGCTCTAGGTCAGTGATCACACCATTGTGATTATCTGGGTCGTGAAGATCTTTTTTTGTACAGTTCTTCTGTGTATTCTTGCCACCTCTTCTTAATTATCTTCTGCTTCTGTTAGGTCCATCCATTTCTGTCCTTTATGGAACCCATCTCTGCCTGAAATGTTCCCTTGATATCTCTAATTTTCTTGAAGAGATCTCTAGTCTTTCTCATTCTGTTGTTTTCCTCTATTTTTTGCATTGATCTCTGAGGAAGGCTTTCTTATCTCTCCTTGCTATTCTTTGGAACTCTGCATTCAAATGGGAATATCTTTCCTTTTCTCCTTTGCTTTTCGCTTCTCTTCTTTTCACAGCTACTTGTAAGGCTGCCTCAGACAACCATTTTGCCTTTTTGCATTTCTTTTCCATGGGGATGGTCTTGATCCCTGTCTCCTGTACAGTGTCACGAACCTCTGTCCATAGTTCATCAGGCTCTCTGTCTATCAGATCTAGTCCCTTCAATCTATTTCTCACTTCCACTGTATAGTCATAAGGGATTTGATTTAGATCATGCCTGAATGGTCTAGTGGTTTCCCCTACTTTCTTCAGTTTAAGTCTGAATTTGGCAATAAGGAGTTCATGATCTGAGCCACAGTCAGCTCCCGGTCTTGTTTTTGATGACTCTATAGAGCTTCTCCATCTTTGGCTGCAAAGAATATAATCAGTCTGATTTCGGTGTTGATCATTTGGTGATGTCCATGTGTAGAGTCTTCTCTTGTGTTGTTGGAAGAGGGTGTTTGCTATGACCAGTGTGTTCTCTTGGCAAAACTCTGTTAGCCTTTGCCCTGCTTCATTCCGTACTCCAAGGCCAAATTTGCCTGTTACTCCAGGTGTTTCTTGACTTCCTACTTTTGCATTCCAGTCCCCTATAATGAAAAGTACATCTTTTTTGGGTGTTAGTTCTAAAAGGTCTTGTAGTTCTTCATAGAACTGTTCAACTTTAGCTTCTTCAGCATTACTGGTTGGGGCATAGGCTTGGATTACTGTGATACTGAATGGTTTGCCTTGGAAATGAACAGAGATCATTCTGTTGTTTCTGAGATTGCATCCAAGTACTGCATTTCAGACTGCTTTGTTGACCATGATGGCTACTCCATTTCTTCTAAGGGATTCCTGCCCACAGTAGTAGATATAATGGTCATCTGAGTTAAATTCACCCATTCCAGTGCATTTTAGTTCACTGATTCCTAGAATGTCGACATTCACTCTTGCCGTCTCCTGTTTGACTACTTCCAATTTGCCTTGATTCATGGACCTAACATTCCAGGTTCCTATGCAATATTGCTCTTTACAGCATTGGACCTTGCTTCTATTACCAGTCACATCCATAACGGGGTATTGTTTTTGCCTTGGCTCCATCCCTTCATTGTTTCTGGAGTTATTTCTCCACTGATCTCCAGTAGCATATTGGGCACCTACCGACCTGAGGAGTTCCTCTTTCAGTGTCCTATCATTTTGCCTTCTCATACTGTTTATGGGGTTCTCAAGGCAAGAGTACTGAAGTGGTTTGCCATTCCCTTCTCCAGTGGACCACATTCTGTCAGATCTTTCCACCATGACCCTACTGTTTTGGGTGGCCCCACACGGCATGGCTTAGTTTCATTGAGTTAGACATGACTGTGGTCCTGTGATCAGATTGGCTAGTTTTCTGTGATTATGGTTTTAGTGTGTCCACCCTCTGATGCCCTCTGGCAACACCTGCCATCTTACTTGGGTTTCTCTTACCTTGGACGTTGGGTATCTCTTCATGGCTGCTCCAGCAATGCGCAGCCACTGCTCCTTACCTTGGATGAGGGGTATCTTCTCAGGGCTGCCCCTCCTGACCTTGAACGTGGAGTAGCTCCTCTCAGCCCTCCTGCGCCCAGCAGCAGCTCCTCCTTGGAAGTGAGGTTGCTCCTCTCGGCAGCAGTCCCTGACCTCGGAGGTGTGGTAGCTCCTCTCAGCCGCCGCCCCTGCCCTTGGGCATGGGAAAGCTCCTCTCTGCTGCAGCTCCTGCGCTGTCACAGCCTGAGGGTCTTGGTCGCTACCCCTGACCTTGGGCGAGGGGTAGCTGCTCACGGCCGCGCCTCTGCGCCGTCCGTCGCAGCCGGCGCGCTTCTGCGCGGTCCGTCGCAGCCGACGCGCCTCTAGTTCCATATAATTTTGTATATTACTTTAGAACAAGCTTCTACATTTATACTTGAATCAGGTGTATTGTACTTGTGCTGAAGTCATGATCAACTTTAAACAAAGTCAGCCAGCCGTGCATAACATCATTCAAATGGCGTTTCCTTATTTATAATAGAGTCCTACTAGTGGGATGGCTGGGTGCAAGGGTAAACACATACATGGTTTGGCCAGAGATTCCCACACTTTTCTCTGTAGATGATGGACCATCTTGTACTCCTACCAGCGTGTGAGTTGTGTCTGTTTCCCAAAACTTTGCAGTGGAGGGCATTGTTGAACTCTTGAAATTTGGAGTCCATTATTTATTTCATCTCTCACTGCCATTTTCCCCTTCCAGACTGAGAATATACAAGTTACATTACCTTTAGAGAACCATTTGGAAGGAAAAGTTGGTTTTAAGACCTATAAGAATTACTTCACACCCCATGCTGACTGGTCTGTCATCATCTTCCTTATACTAGTAAACATCGCAGCTCAGGTACGTAACATTTATTTTGGTTTGTGCACTCAGCTTGATATTCATGTACTATTTATACTGCATTTATTTTATAATTATTCTTAGATATGTGTTTTAAGAGATTTATTTTAAAAACTGGCTGGGGTTGTGGAATCTTGCTGGATGGATGTGAAATCAGGAAGGCAAGCCTGCAGGTTGGAACGTCAGACAGGAGCTGACCCTGCTGTCTTGAGGCAGAATTTCTTCCTCCTCTAGGACACCTCAGGATTTGCACTCAGGCCTTCATCTGACTGGATGAGGCCACCACAGTGCTATTATTGCATTTTAAGTTCTCTTGGGTTTGCACTGAAATATGTTATATGTGTTGAGCAAAGTCTTCTGGGAAAAAGGATATCTTTTAAAGATTTTAAAATGTATCATGCTCTCCCCTGACCTGTGGTCATATGTGGTGTGGGGCTTGGTACAGACCTGAGCCAGAAGGACCGTCTCTGTGTTCTGGAGCCTTTCCATCCTCCATCCTAGTGAGCGGGATGTGAAGGCTCAGGAATGTCAGTTTGTGAGTGAATGTTGTTTCTTGCTCCAGGTTGCCTATGTCCTACAGGATTGGTGGCTTGCATTCTGGTGAGTGATGATTCCTGGTCTGACCCAAAGTGCTGTGAAATTTACATGAAGCTTCACTTTCCCACAGAGTCAGGTCGGGGTGAGCTTCTTTAGCCTCCTCTTATGACCATCAAGTAGTTTCCCTGAAGAAAAAGTAAACTTCTTGTGGGCGAGTATGATCACCCTGTAGTCTCTCCCCATGTCCTCTCTTTAGTAGCTTCTTCACAGACAACTTTTTTTCTTTTTTTGAACTTTTTCTTTTGTATTGAAATATAGCTGGTTAACCATGTTGTGATAGTTTCAGGTGAACAGTGAAAGGAGTCAGCCATACACATATATGTATCCATCCTCCCCCAAGTCCTCTCCTATCCAGGCTGGCTGCCATGTAACAGTGAGCAGAGTTCCTGTTCCATATGCTATACAATAAGTCCTTGTTTGTTATCTATTTTAAATATAGAAGTGTGTGCATGACCATCACAAACTCCCAAATATCCCTTCCCCTCCAGCAACCATAAGTTCATTTTCTTTTTTTAAAAATTTTATTTATTTTATTTTTTTTCCATTTATTTTTATTAGTTGGAGTCTAATTACTTTACAACATTGCAGTGGTTTTTGTCATACATTGAAATGAATTAGCCATGGATTTACATGTATTCCCCATCCCGGTACCCCCTCCCACCTCCCTCTCCACCTGATCCCTCTGGGTCTTCCCAGTGCTCCAGGCCCGAGCACTTGTCTCATGCATCCAACCTGGGCTGGTGATCTGTTTCACCCTAGATAATATACATGTTTCGATGCTGTTCTCTTGAGACATCCCACCCTCGCCTTCTCCCACAGAGTCTGTCTTCACAGACAGTTTTGAGAACTGAAAGTCATGATTCAGATTTTTAAAAGGGAGACACACAGAGGTTCTTGTGAGCTGGGAAACACTTTCCAGCATGAAATACACTTCTCAAATTGAGTTAATTTTTTTTATATTTGTGTAAATTCTATACACACACACATACACACACACACATATATATATATAAAATTTAATATTTTTTCTTCCCTGTTCCATAGGGCACATGTACAAAGTGGCCTGTATTTTGGGGAATTTGTAAAAGGAGATGAAGATGTAGTGTTCGTTCTGAACTGGTACTTAGGAGCTTATTCAGGTAAAGTTGAGTCATCCGATCCACTGTACTAGAGTCTAAGGTGTTTACAAGTCTGTATGAGCAACTAGGGCTTCCAGGAGTAATTCAGTAATGTATTAACAGATTAAGTGTCTGAGTTGCATTTACTCTGTGAATTATTTAGAATAAGTATTTTAAAGATCTACTAGAAGAAAAGAGGTTGAATGAAGACTCTTAATTTGCTCTGTACTGGATTTTGATAATTAAATCAGGATTGCCTATTCAGAAGATCAGCCACTGGAAATATGTGGCTATTGTCTGTACTAATAGGTTGTTTTAACTAAATCTGATATTGTTATATGGATGGGCAAGGGGATAGAAATGGTCCTCACTCTGTGGTTCAGTTGTTCCAATCCTGTTTGAATAAACCCTGGCATTTATTGATCTTGGATGAAATCTTCTGGCACCATGGGCCCCAGACGAAAGCATTATTCCCTCCCAGGAATGCATACTCCCCTTCACCACACTGCTCATCTTGGGCTTCACTAATTACTTGAGAAGCTAAGAAGGGGAAATCCAATGTCTGGGGTTAGATTCCTTCTCTTTCTTACCTTGAGTTCACAGTGTTATCTTCTCTCCAACTGTGTGATTAATTTAAAATTTGGCTTGCCAGACTAATACTAACATGACTTTCTCTATTTAGTAGAGTGTTTAGAATATATATAAATAGCATTACATACTATTTAAAGCATATCTTCACATCAAATATTAGATATTTTCTTTATCCATTCATCTGTTGATGGACATTTAGGTTGTTTCCATGTCCTAGCTATTGTAGATAGTGCTGTTATGATCATTAGGGTTCATGTGTCTTTTTGAATTATGGTTTTCACAGAGTATCCCAGTAGTAGGATTTCTGGGTCATATGGTAGTTCTATTTTTAGTTTTCTGAAGAATGCCTATACTGGAATAGCAGACCACCTTACCTGCCTCCTGAGAAACCCATATGTAGATCAAGAAGTAACAGAACTGGGCATGGAATAATGGATTGGTTCCAAGTAGGGCAAGGAGTATGTCAAGGGTATATATTGTCATCCTGTTTATTTAACTTCTATGTAGACTACACTGGAGAAGGCAATGGCAACTCACTCCAGTACTCTCGCATGGAAAATCCCATGGGCGGAGGAGCCTGGTAGGCTGCAGTCCATGGGGTCGCTAAGAGTTGGATACGACTGAGTGACTTCACTTTCACTTTTCCTTTCATGCATTGGAGAAGGAAATGACAACCCACTCCAGTGTTCTTGCCTGGAGAATCCCAGGGACAGGGGAGCCTGGTGGGCTGCTGTCTCTGGGGTCACACAGAGTTGGACACGACTGAAGCGACTTAGCAGCAACAGCAGCAGCATGTAGAGTACATCACACAAAATGCTGGGCTGGATGACTCCCAAGCTGGAATCAAGATTGATTGGAGAAATACCAATATCCTCAGATATGCAGGTGACACCACCCTTATGGCAGAAAGCGAAAAGGAACTAAAGAGTCTCTTGATGGAGGTGAAAGAGGAGAGTGAAAAAGCTTGCTTAAGGGACTTCCCTGATGGTCCAGTGGCTAAGACTCTGAGCTCCCAATGCAGAGGGGCCTGGGTTCAATCCCTGGTCAGAAAACTAGATCCCACATGCTGCAACTAAGACCTGGCACAGCCAAATAAGTAAATATTTTTTTTAAAAAAGCTGGCTTAAAACTCAACATTCAAAATACTAAGATCATGGCATCTAGTCCCATCACTTCATGGCAAATAGATGGGGAAACAATGGAAACAGTGACTTTATTTTCTTCGGCTCCCAAATCACTATGGACAGTGACTACAGCCATGAAATTTAAAGATGCTTGCTCCCTGGAAGAAAAGCTATGTCAAATGTTGATAGTGTATTAAAAGGCAGAGATATCCCTTTGCTAACAACGGTCTGTATAGTCAAAACTATGGTTTTTCCAGTAGTCATGTACGGATGTGAGATTTGGACCATAATGAATGCTGTGTGCCAGAGAATGGATTCTTTTGAAGTGTGTTGCTGAAGAAGACTCTTGAGAGTTCCTTGGATAGCAAAGAGATTAAACCAGTCAGTCCTAAAGGAAATCAACCCTGAATATTAATTGGAAAAACTGATGCTGAATCTGAAACTCCAATAATTTGGCCACCTAATGCAAAGAGCCAATTCACTGGAAAAGACCCTGATGCTAGGAAAGCTTGAGGACTGGAGAAGAAGGGGGTGACAGAGGATGAGATGTTGGATGGCATCACTGATTCAATGGACATGAGTCTCAGCAAGCTCCAGGAGGTAGTGAAGGACAGGGAAGCCTGGCGTGCTGCTGTTCATGGGGTCGCAAGGAGTTGCTCACAACTGAGCAACTGAACAGCAATGACAGTACTCCATTGTGGCTTTATAAATTTACATTCCCACCAGCATTGCAAGAGGGTTCCCTCTTCTCCACACCCTCTCTCGCATTTATTGTTTTTATCCTTTTTGATGAAAGCTATCCTGACTGGTGTGAGGTGATACCTTATTGTAGTTTTGATCTAATTTCTCTAATAGTGATGTTGAGCATCTTTTTATGTGCCTGTTGGCCATCTATGTGTCTTCTTTGGAGAAATGTCTCTTTAGGTCTCCAGCCCATTTTTTGATTGGGTTGTTTGTTTTTTTGATATTGAGCTGCACAAGCTGTTTGTATATTGTGGAGATTAATCTCTGGTCCGTTGCTAAGTTTGCTCTTATTTTCTCCTATTCCAAGGTTGTCTTTTCATCTCATTTATGGTACATATACACATTGGAATATTACTCATCCATAGAAAGGTACAAAATTGGGTCATTTGTAGAGACACAGATGGACCTATTATACTATGTATGTATACTCTGTATAATAGGGTCTATTATACAAAGTAAAGTAAAAGTAATTGTTTTTTTTTATATAAGCAAAGAAATGCCTATATTAATGGATATGTATGGAATCTAAAAAATGGCAGTGATGAACCTGTTTGCAGGGCCAGGAATAGAGTTGTAGTTGTTGAGAATAGATGTGTGGACACGCTGGGTGGAGTGGGGAGGAGGGAAAGATAAATTGGGAGATTAGGATTAACATATTACTCTACCATGTGTGAAACAGATAGTGGGAAGCTGCTGCATAGCACAGGGAGCTCAAGTCAGTGCTCTGTGGTGACTAGAGGGAAGGGATACAGGGACGGGAGGTCCATGAGGGAGGGGATATATGTATACATATAGCTGATTTACTTCATTGTATTTAGAGAAGGAAATAGCAACCCACTCTAGTACTCTTGCCTGGAGAATCCCATGGATGGAGGAGCCTGGTCGGCTACAGTCCACGGGGTCGCAAAGAGTCGGACACGACTGAGCAATTTCACTTTCACTCACTCACAACAGAAACTAATGCAACATTGCAAAGAAACTATACCCCAATAAAATTAAAAAAAATTAGATATCTTCACAGGAAATGCTTGTATAAGCTTTTTACAAAGAGTGAATTATGTAAAAATCTACTCATTGAAATTTGTTATTTATTTTGTTGATCACTTGCTAAGAAACTTGAATCCATTAGCTAGTTTCTTTCTGAATTGGTAGAGTATGGGGGCTTGAAAAAGAAGGAAGGGATTCTGTTACACATTCATATTGGATGTGGGTTAAGGCAAATAAATGCCTGTTGATGGAATTCAGGAATTTGAGCAGCTTTCAGAATTTAAGTAACACTGATGTATCAGTTGAATGGGAAAAAAAAGGAGTACTTGAGGGAATAATTATTATAGAAGTTATCCCCTTTGTATTTAGCATTGTGTGTTGAACAGATGTTCAGAGGGCTATTTTAATTTTTATATGCATGGTAATGCTTATTTATGTCATTGATAAAACATAAATGTAAATGATTATATTTACTTACAAGTTTTTGAAAGTGAAACCGTTAGTCTCTCACTTGTGTCTGACTCTTTGTGACCCCATGGACTGTAGCCTGCAAGGCTCCTTTGTCCATGGAATTCTCCAGGCAAGAATACTAGAGCAGGTAGCCATTCCCTTCTCCAGGGGATCTTCCCAACCCAGGGACTGAACCCAGGTCTCCTGTTTTGCAGGTAGATTCTTTATTCTCATCTGAGCCACCAAATACTTAGTGAAAGGTTAGTTGCTCGTTTAGATTAATTATTTCATGTCAAAACATAATTTGTAGTTTCTTGCAATTCAATTATGTAAGAGATTGCCCACTTTCAACTTAACATGATCTTTTCATACTCTTTAAAGTTACTTGGACGTAGAAGTAGCTACTTTATTTTTAATATTTTAAATTTTTGTTATGGTATATTTGCTTTCCTATGTCATGTTAGTTTCTGCTGTACAGCTAAGTGAACAAAGTGAACACAAAATGAACAATCCTCTCTTTTTTGAATTTCTTTCCCATTCAGGTCACCACAGAGCACTGAGTAGAGTTCCCTGTGCTATAGAGTAGGTTCTTAAGAAATTATTTTACATGAAAGTAAATTTCCTTGTAAATACAAGGAAGTGGTAAATCATTTCTCCTGTTACCTGTTAATTCATATGCTTGTATCAAAGTATACTTCAGTTTTAGATTATGGGACAAGTTGTAAATAGTGACATTTGAAATGCGGAGAGATGATGATCAAATACTTTTTATAATTATCTTGCTTGTGAGTTTTTATTAGAACTTGTAATTAAATTAGGAAAGCCTAGAATGAAACTGTAGTTTACACATGATTTTTTTTCCCTCTGCATTGTTTCTATTTAGTGAGAGGAAAACAGTGATTTTTATGTATTTCTTTATAAATGTATTTTGGGAAAGCATTAAACTCTTAAAGGATCCACTTTATATTTTTATATATATATATATATATATATGTATTTACACATATGTTTTTTATTCTATATATGTAAATCTCTATAAAAATTTTATTTGTAGAATAAAATACACAGTATCTTTATAAACTGCCTGGCATACTTGAGCATTGTTGAGGATAAGGCAGATATCTTGTGCTGAGTGATGTTTCTTTTTTTCAGGTTTAACTGTATCTACCATCCTTTTTGGCATCACAAGATCTCTGTTGATATTCTATGTCCTTGTTAATTCTTCACAAACTTTGCATAGCAAAATGTTGGAGACCATTTTAAGAGCTCCAGTATTGTTCTTCAACAGAAATCCAATAGGTAAGTCAGACATGAAGTTTCTCAGTGAATATGTTTTGTTAACACATTTAGCACCTAATTACATTTTCATATTTGAAAATGGAAGAGACACTTGGAAGAAAATCACTGTGTGTTTGTTCATTTTCTACAAAAAGTTTCATTGATAATTTTTCCTACCAGAGATAATCTGAATATAGGAGCATATAAGCTTTTATTCCAATTTATGTGTGTTTGTAAAGATAAATGGATGTTTACTTTGCAGGATGATTTAGGAGTCCGTTTGTTATGTGGCATATGAAACACTCAAAATATGATGCAAATGTGTTGAAATGTTTTTGACTAGTTGCTGAAACATTGTGTTACACAGTGTTAAGCTAACGAGGAATGACCTTTCTCCAGGAACATCTGTACAGAATATAGGCTGTGTGTTTCTTTCTTTCACTGCCCATCCATTTCTGGGATCACAGAGCTCTGGCTTGTGCTCACATTTTGAGTTTTACCTAATCACAATGGTGTGATCACTCACCTAGAGTCAGACATCCTGGAATGTGAAGTCAAGTGTGCCTTAGAAAGCATCACTACGAACAAAGCTAGTGGATGTGATGGAATTCAAGCTGAGTTATTTCAAATCCTGAAAGATGATGCTGTGAAAGTGCTGCACTCCATATGCCAGCAAATTTGGAAAACTCAGCAGTGGCCACAGGACTAGAAAAGGTCCATTTTCATTCCAATCCCCAAGAAAGGCAATCCCAAAGAATGCTCAAACTACCGCACAATTGCACTCATCTCACACGCTAGTAAAGTAATGTTCAAAATTCTCCAGGCCAGGGTTCAGCAATACGTGAACTGTGAACTTACAGATGTTCAAGCTGGTTTTAGAAAAGACAGAGGAACCAGAGATCAAATTGCCAACATCTGCTGGATCATTGAAAAAGCAAGAGAGTGCCAAAAAAAATACCTATTTCTGCTTTATTGACTACACCAAAGCCTTTGACTGTGTGGATCACAATAAACTGTGGAAAATTCTGAAAGAGATTGGAATACCAGACCACCTGACCTGCCTCTTGAGAAACCTGTATGCAGGTCATGAAGCAACACTTAGAAGTGAACATGGAACAACAGACTGGTTCCAAATAGGAAAAGGAGTACATCAAGGCTGTATATTGTCACCCTGCTTATTTAACTTATATGCAGAGTACATCGTGAGAAACACTGGGCTGGAAGAAGCACAAGCTGGAATCAAGATTGCCGGGAGAAATGGCAATAACCTCAGATATGCAGATGACATCACCCTTATGGCAGAAAGCAAAGAGGAACTAAAAAGTCTCTTGATGAAAGTGAAAGAAGAGAATGAAAAAGTTAGCTTAAAGCTAAACATTCAGAAAACTAAGATCATGGCATCTGGTCCCATCTCTTCATGGGAAATAGATGGGGAGACAGTGGAAACACTGTCAGACTTTATTTTTTTGGGCTCCAAAACCACTGCAGATGGTGATTGTGGCCATGAAATTAAAAGACACTTACTTCTTGGAAGGAAAGTTATGACCAACCTAGATAGCATATTAAAAAGCAGAGACATTACTTTGCCAACAAAGGTCCATCTGGTCAAGGCTATGGTTTTCCCAGTGGTCATGTATGGATGTCAGAGTTGGACTGTGAAGAAAGCTGAGCGCCGAAAAATTGATGCTTTTGAACTGTGGTGTTGGAGAAGACTCTTGAGAGTCCCTTGGACTGCAAGGAGATCCAACCAGTCCATCCTAAAGGAGATCAGTCCTGGGTGTTCATTGGAAAGACTGATGCTGAAGCTGAAATTCCAATACTTTGGCTACCTCATGCGAAGAGTTGACTCATTGGAAAAGACCCTGATGCTGGGAGGGATTGGGGGCAGGAGGAGAAGGGGATGACAGAGGATGAGATGGCTGGATGAGATCACCGACTTGATGGACATGAGTTTGAGTAAACTCCAGGAGTTTGTGATGGACAGAGAGGCCTGGCGTGCTGTGATTCATGGGGTCGCAAAGAGTTGGACAGGACTGAGTGACTGAACTGAACTGACTGAATGGAAAATCAATTAAAATACAAGATCACTGAAACATAAACATCCTCTTCAATAAAATAAGCTTTCTAGTTTTACAGTAGACTTTTGGTTACATTTAAGAATCTTGTGGTACCTAGCAGGTGCATCTTCAGCATAAAGTAAGAGTGTCCCTGAAGGTTTCCCAGTGGTTGCTTCTTCCACCGAGGCCTTTGACCTGTCTTGCTTCAGAAGGTGGCCTCCTGACCTGGGTTCCTATGAAGAGTTAGTTCATAGACTTGTGTTGAGGCTCAGGGTGGCTTTGTTTCTTCAGGTGATGATTGACAGGACCTGTTGAGGCTGGAATGACGGCTGGAGGGAGGATAGAAATAGCCTCAGCCTGGTCATCAACTAATAGTGTGACCAAGGATAAAGCAGGTAGATACTACTGGGCAGGCAAATCTCAAAGCAGGATGTTGTCATGGTTATAAGTATGGAGCCTGGAGCCAGTTTCCTGGGTTCTGTCCTGGTGCTAGTTACTAAAGTAATAATGAGTTACAGTTATGTTAATATTTATGTGCTATTTAACTTCTCTGTCTCAATTTTCTTACCTATAAAATGAGAATACTATTCATGCACTTACCAATATCTTGATTTTTGTGGGCATTAGCCAGGTTAATACAGTCACAGCACCTAGCACATGGGTAGCACCTAATGAACCTTAGTGAGGATGACGACACGGTGTCTTAGAACTTCCTCCTCTATGAAATAGGAATAACCATTGCCCTTCATGTTTCACAAGACTGTCTTGAGGATTAAACAAGACTGTTGGGGGCAGAATCTTGTGTAGATTTATTCAGCACATGTTGTTTGGTCCAGGCACTGTGTGGAGCACAGGATGGTAAACTGCTGAGGCCCACACAGATCTCATCTTATTATGAAGCTGGAGTGAGGAAGTGATGGGAGGAGTCCATGCTGTTATGGCTGTGAAGTTACTCTACTTTGCCTGTTAATGTGAAAGCTATAGTTGTAAATCTGGGAGCATCAAGTGGGACTGAACTTCTGTTATCCCAAGTTCTGCATGCTCATGACCACAATTAACCAGGCTCTTGATGATCTGTAGGCTTCTCCAGATGCTGATGTATTTATTACTCAAGGATTTAGAACCAAGTTTAAATCTTTAAGGTCACTAATCCTAGAGTAGCAGACACACCAGTATGTGTCTTGTCTCTCCCTCCTGTGTCTATTATTAGTACTTCATTCCTTTAAGAAAATAGAAACCCAAATAAGTACTGAAAAGATAGGCCCAAAGTTTAGGGGCATCAATTATTTACTTTTTAGCAGTATATTAAATCAAACACTTCCCTGTGTTTATTTTCAAAAGTAGAATTTATAATAGATTGTTTATGGTGGTCTTTGTTTCTGGTATGTGATGGCATGAAGAGAAAACCACATACAGTGGTGTTACTTGTTACCAAGTTCAAGCTGGCTCTGCTTACCTCACAATGCCAACAAGTCATACAGATGTCATGTTAAAGCAAAGAATAACAGCTTTATTTGGAAACTTGTCAGACTAAGAAGATGGCAAACAGTCTCAAAATATCCATCTTACTGGAGTCTGGATGCCAGGTTCTTTTCTAGAACATGGAGGATACGAGGATAGGAAGTAAAGTCAAAAGGACATTTATCTTGAAGAATAGGGGGGCATTTGTTTAATTTTTTTTTTCTTTTCTGAAGCCATTCATAGGTGGTGAGGGTAAGATTGTCTCCCTGTGAGCTGAAAAAAGGTACTTTAACATTCATGTAGAAGGGCAGGGTTCCCTGACAAAAGCTATGAATAGCAATATTAACGTCAAAGGAACAGATCCAACATGGAGTCAAAATTGGCTCTTCCCTGTTATAGTTCCTTTGATGGGCACCCCCGCTACCTGGGGCCAGTATCCTGTGCTTTCTCATCCTGAGTCTTCTCAGGGAGCACCACCATTGAAGGCGTGCCTGCCAAGTCCTGATGGCTGCAGCATCCTTTGTTTCCTGTTGTGACAGGTGGCATTTTTACTTCACACCAGATATTTACTAGAAATTATCATATTCTAATCCTGCAGTCTTTAGGATATGCTCTTATCGTGGATTCTGAGAAGGGAAATAAAATCAATGATAACTGATTCGTAATCATTTAGTAATATTCCCATTTTCCTGCCTACATTCCTCTGGTCTTCTTAGATGTTTATCCAGAAGTCTATTCTTATCACACCTTGTACATCTCTGAAAATAATGACTTATTACCCCAGTGGTAAACTCACAACTTGGAAATTGCCAGAACCCACAATTTCCCAAAATGTGAGGCACTGTGAACCATTTAGAGGGAAAAAATATTACAGAGAGGTTATACATATGTTTATTTAAAGAGTATCACTTGGCAAAATTAATCTTGACAACTAAAACAAAATTGGTGTAACAATTAGGATTAACTGTTTCATTAATTTGTTGCATACTTAGGTATTTGCAACTGTTTATTTACCAACTTAGCATTTTGAATGAGTCTCAGATGGGATGAATCTAAAATGGGGGGGAGGGGAAACATTCTGAAATCCACCAACCCTTTTTGATACTGCCACCAGATTCCCCCATTCTTTTAAAAATCAGGGCTCAATTTCAACTTCCCACCCCCTGCCATTTGGTGGTATTTTTGTTTCTCTTTACTTATCATCCTATTTTCTCTTTATTTTTACCACTGACATCAGCTTATTTCATATAAATTTGTAATACATTAAATTTATTATAGTTTAATTGCTGAATCGTGTCTGTCTGATTCTTTTGCAGTCCCATGGACTGTAGCCCACCAGGCTCCTCTGTCTGTGGGTTTCCCAGGAAAGAATACTGGAGTGAGTTGCTATTTCCTTCTCCAAGGGATCTTCCCAATCCAGGGATTGAATCCACATCTCTTTTGTCTCTTGCGTTGGCAGGTGGATTCTTTACCACTGAGTAACTAGGGAAGTCCAAATATTTAATGGATGTATTTTATTTTTTAAAAAGATTTATTTATTTATTTTTGGTTATAATGGGTCTCTGTTGCTGTGCGTGGATTTTCTCTAGATACAGTAAGGGCTACTGTTCATTGCAGTGTGTGGGCTTCCCATTAAAGTGGCTTCTCTTGGTGGTAGAGCTCAGGCTCTAGACGTATGGGCTTCAGTAGTTATGGCACACAGTCTTAGTAGCTCTGCAGCATGTGGCATCTTTCCAGACCAGGGATCGAACTCCTGTCCCCTGCACTGGGGACACTATACCACCAGGAAAGTCCCTAATTACACATACTTCAAAAAATACTGTTTTCATTTGTTCATGAATTCTTTCTCTTAAAGCTCCTATCTGAGGCAGTGAGTAATTTCTCATATCCTGTTCTTGCAGGAAGAATTTTAAATCGTTTCTCCAAAGACATTGGGCATATGGATGACTTGCTGCCTGTGATATTTCAAGATTTCATCCAGGTGATGTACCAGTCCTGTCAGAGTTCTCACAGGGAGTAGCAGAGAGTCTGTTTCTCAAGGATTTTTCATAGGGATAGAGGGCGGGCTTTTCAGCCTGCAATGTTTCCTGTTACTGTCAGTAAAGGCCGAGTTTGTGAGAAAAAGGTGCAGTTGTGATTCAGAGGCTGAGTTAACAGGAGGAGCACCTGGGGTGGGAGTGGCTACACAGTCACATCAAGGTTGGTCTGAAGCAGCAACTGCTATGTAAGTGGTTCTCCCTCTGCCTTCCAGTTATCTCAATTCCTTTTACTGTAAGCACATTTCATAATATCGAAATAATCACCTCTCATAGAAAGATAGTCTAGGTTAAATAAATTATGCATTGTATTGGGCTTCCCAGGTGACTCAGTGATAAAGAATTCACCTGCCAATGTAGGAGATGCAAGAGATGTAGATTTGATTCCTCAATTGGGAAGATGCCTTGGAGAAGGGAATGACAACCTACTTGAGTTTTCATGCCTAGAAAATTCCATGGAAAGAGGACCCTGGCAGGCTATAGCCCATGGGACTGAAAAGAGTCAGACACAACTGAGCGTGAGCCTGATACACTGTATTACCACAGAGGACAAATATTTACTGCACCGTTTTATTTGGATAAAGCCAGGTGTGGTTACTTGCAAAGAAAAGATTGATAAAAATTAGGTGAAAATAATACTTCAACAAGGACAATGTTATTGCTTGGTTGCTAAGTTGTGTCCAATTCTTTTGTGAATCCATGGACTGCGGCCCACCAGGCTCCTCCATCCATGGAATTTCTCAGGCAAGAACACTGGAGTGGGTTGCCATTTCCTTTTCCAGGGGATCTTCCCAACCCAGGGCTTGAATCCACATCTATTGAGTCTCCTGCATTGGCAGGTGGATTCTTTACCACTGAGCAAATAGGGAAGTCCAACAAGAACAATTCAGTTCAGTTCAGTTCAGTCGCTCAGTCGTGTACGACTCTGTGACCCCATGGACTGTAGCACACCAGGCTTCCCTGTCCATCATCAACTCTCAGAGCTTGCTGAAACTCATGTCCATCGAGTCAGTGATGCCATCCGTCTGTCTCATCCTCTGTTGTCCGTCTCCTCCTGCCTTCAATCTTTCACAGCATTAGGGTCTTTTGCAATGAGTCAATTCTTCACATCAGGTAGCCAAATTACTGGAGTTTAAGCTTCAGCATCCTTCCTTCCAGTGAATATTCAGGACTGATTTTATTTAAGAATCACCACTTTGACCTTCTTGCTCTTCAGGGGACTCTTAAGAGTCTTCTCCAACACCACAGTTCAAAAGCATCAATTCTTTGGCACTCAGATTTCTTTATGGTACAGTTCTCACAACCATACATGACTACTGGAAAAACCATAGCTTTGACTAGATGGATATGTCATCAAAGTAATGTCTCAGGTTTTTAATATGCTGTCTAGGTTGGTCATAGCTTTTCTTCCAAGGAGCAAGCATCTTTTAATTTCATGACTGCAGACATCATCTGCAGTGATTTTGGTGCCCAAGAAAATAAAGTCTCCCACTGTTTACATTGTTTTGCTATCTATTTGCCATGAAGTGATGGGACCAGATGCCATGATCTTAGTTTTTTGAATGCTGAGTGTTTTTTTTTTTTTTAATGTTGAGTTTTAAGCCAACTTTTTCACTCTCCTTTTTCACTTTCATCAAGAGCCTCTTTGGGTTTTTTTTTTTTTTTTTGCTTTCTGCCATAAGGATGGTGACGTCTGCATATCTGAGGTTATTGACATTTCTTCTGGCAATCTTGATTCCAGCTTGTGCTTCATCCAGATCAGCATTTTGCATGATGTACTCTGCATATAAGTTAAATAATCAGGGTGACAATATACAACCTTGACATACTCCATTCCTGATTTGGAAACAGTCTATTTTTCTATGGCCAGTTCCAACTGTCACTTCTTGACCTGCTTACAGATTTTTCAGGAGGCACGTAAGGTGGTCTGGTTTTCCCATCTCTTCAAGAATTTTCAAAAGTTTGTTGTGATCCACATAGTCTAAGGCTTTGGCATAGATAATAAAGCAGAAGTAGATGTTTTTCTGGAATTCTGTTGCTTTTTCAGTGATCCAACGGATGTTCAATTTGATCTCTGATTCCTCTGCCTTTTCTAAATCCAGCTTGAACATCTGGAAGTTCACAGTTCACGTATTTTTGAAGACTGGCTTGGAGAATTTTGAGCATTACTTTGCTAGCGTGTGAGATGAGTGCAGTTATGCAGTAATTTGAGCATTCTTTGGCATTGCCTTACTTGGGATTGGAATGAAAACTGACTTTTCCAGTCTTATGGCCACTGCTGAGTTTTCCAAATTTGCTGGCATATTGTGAGTGCAGCACTTTCACAGCATCATCTTTTAGGATTTGAAATAGTTCAACTGGAGTTCTATCACCTTCACTAGCTTTGTTCATAGTGATGCTTTCTAAGGTCTGCTTGGCTTTGCATTCCAGGATGTCTGGCTCTAGGTGAGTGATCACACCATCATGGTTATCTGGGTTATGAAGATCTTTTTTGTACAGTTCTTCTGGGTATTCTTGCCACCTCATCTTAATATCTTCTGCTTCTGTTAGATCCATACCATTTCTGTCCTTTATTGAGCCCATCTTTGCATGAAATGTTCCCTTGGTATCTCTAATTTTCTAGAAGAGATCTCTAGTTCAACGTCATCTCAGAAAATGTCTTTTGTTTTTGTAGGCAGATTTTCTTTTCACAAGTTGATTGCTCTATCTTAAGTTGTCTTACAAAAAAGAGAGAGAGAGAGAAAGACCTATAGGAATGCCTTCTATTCAGTCTCTGTCTGTGAACTGTTCTAAGGAATAATGTTGGGTCACCTCAGCTCTTATCCCCAAATTCAGTATTGTTACTCATATGGAGTGTTTTTTTCTGTTATTTTATTCTGTCTACTTTTCAGTGATTAAGCCTGGGGAATTTGCTTTTTCTTTCCAAGGGTTAATTTTGAAAATGAAAAGAATGTGTCAAAACCTTCACATAGAAATGCAGCAATGAACATTTGCCTAGGGACAGCACAGCCTGTGGGCAAGGATTCCACATTACCAATGAGAACTAAACTGAGACTCAGCGGCAGAGAACTTACTGCAAAGAGGTTTATTTTTCTTTCTCTTCTGCAAAATTATTTTATAAATGTGCCTTGTTGGATTTAGCTACACAATTTATCCCCAGAAACAATTTTTCCCTCAAAACAGTGTCATGTTTTGACAGTGATTGTGAATTACTTTGAAAGGGTCTTGTGAAAGGTTCTGTTTCTTTGCTATAGCAAGGTAGGCCAAGGTTGTTTTTCTGCCATGTGCTTAGCATTTGGTTAGTCAGTCATCATAATCAGAATTCGTCACATAGATTTGGATGGCATATAGAGGGACAGGGATAGATGCTACCTGATTTCAACGAGAAATATTCTCATTAAAGAGGAGAGAAAATTCTAGTCTAGCTGATTTCCAGTCCCTCCTCTACCACTTGAAGTTCAATTGTCTTGAAGTTTGGTGGAGGTGTCCTGTAGTTCATTAGAAGTAGGAGTCTGTTCTTTGAGAGAGAGATCTGGGATGAACATGAAGCCTGAGTATTTTTCACTTGCTAAATCTCTGAAGATGGGTAAGATTGCCGAGAGAGTGTATTTTAGGAGCCAAGATCAAAAGCTTAGGGAAGCCTTGATATTCAGAGAGAAAGCAGAGAGAGAAGGGAAGTACAGAAGACACATAAACAACAGCAAGGAAGAGAGGAGGAGATATGGTGGAGACCCGAGGAAGGATGGGTCTGTTCAGTGCAAATGAGAAGGTGAGTCCACGGAAAGCTCTTGGTTAATTTGGAGGCATCTGGTGACAGGAGGAGCAGGTTTCAGATGGGAGGAGTTAGAGAGCAAAGGGCTGCAAATCCAGGAGGTGTGGAGGGAGTTGAGGTGAAGACGGACTGGAAGGAGTTTGAATGAATCAGGAGAGAGGCCCATCTGGAATGAAGGGTCTGAGGAGGTGTTGCTGGTTGTTTGAGATTTTAGTTCCTGGGAGGGGAGGATGGTTGGTGGTTTTTCCCTTTCTTCCATCCTTCCCTTCAACAAACAAGCATTGAGGCCGTGAGGTACACGGGTGACTCACAGGGGTGAGTCAGGCACAAAGCCCTCCCCTCATGGGTCTCGTCCAGTCCCCCAGGGAAGGAAGATATCCAGACATTCACCCCCTGATGGCTTTGGAATCCTAATTGTGGGAGCTCTGTGGAGGAAGCTCTGGAAGACAAACTGGATGTGGAGGCTGGAGGCAGTTAGGAAGCGTGGTCCAGAAGGTGGCGGAGCTTCTAGGAGGTGACCTTTGATCCGGGTGAGAAAAAAAGGCTGCTGTTGTGGATGGTAGGGCTGGAGGTGCTGCTGGTTCCTGTGTGGGAACCAGTCTTTCTCTTTATCCCCAGCTGACAGGGGAGAATGGAAGGCGCTGGAAGGGGGTTGTTCAGTTTTGTTTTAAAGGATGTATTTCATACCAAGTGTTTTCAAACTCATTTTTGATGGTTCTGCTTATCCATGTTGTATATAATAAACCTTGGAAGATACTTGATAATTTTTATTATTTGTAAAGAGTCTATTTCATATACTTCTCCTCATTTAATTCCTTCTCATTCCCTTAAATGATAGCTCAGATAATTTATTTAGTTTTGTAATAGTGATGCCAATGTGGCTAATGAAAACCCTGGGTTCTGAGTAGTGGGTCTACACTTCAGGACAGAACATCTACTCAGACAATGTCACTCAGAGACCACATCCCAACAGTGGGCAATCATGAGTTTGTGCACCATCCTGTACACTGACTCTTACAGATACTAGATATGTTGCCTGTTCAGTCACATTGTAGTTGTTGGGCATATTGGAGCTGTTCACCATTTCAAAAAGGATGAAGGAAAGCAGCATAAAAAATTCTGTTTGTGTAGTGTGATTCACCTGATAATCATTTATGATGGCAACAGCTTTAA